GCAATATGGAACAACAGGGGTATGGTAATCCACAGGGTTCCCTCTTTTGGGCAGCACGGGGTTAGTCCACTTACTGGATGCGGGGAGCCGGACACAGAGGGTTACAGTCCACACAGGCAGCTCCAGGCAGGGAAGGGTTAAGTGTGTTCGGCTCACGGGCAACAAAGAGTTCAATCCAGGCAGGGAAAATGTCCAGCATGCAGGTTCACAGGGAACAAGAGGTAAGTCCAGGCAGGGAAGATATCCAGCCCGCAGGCTCACAGGGAACAAGAGGTAAGTCCAGGCGGGGAAGATATCCAGCCCGCAGGGTCACAGGGAACAAGAGGTAAGTCCAGGCGGGGAAGATATCCAGCATGCAGGCTCACAGGGAACAAGAGGTAAGTCCAGGCGGGGAAGATATCCAGCATGCAGGCTCACAGGGAACAAGAGGTAAGTCCAGGCGGGGAAGATATCCAGCCCGCAGGGTCACAGGGGACAAGAGGTAAGTCCAGGCGGGGAAGATATCCAGCCCGCAGGCTCACAGGGAACAAGAGGTAAGTCCAGGCGGGGAAAGATATCCAGCCCGCAGGCTCACAGGGGACAAGAGGTAAGTCCAGGCGGGGAAGATATCCAGCCCGCAGGCTCACAGGGGACAAGAGGTAAGTCCAGGCGGGGAAGATATCCAGCATGCAGGCTCACAGGGAACAAGAGGTAAGTCCAGGCGGGGAAGATATCCAGCATGCAGGCTCACAGGGAACAAGAGGTAAGTCCAGGCGGGGAAGATATCCAGCCCGCAGGGTCACAGGGGACAAGAGGTAAGTCCAGGCGGGGAAGATATCCAGCCCGCAGGCTCACAGGGAACAAGAGGTAAGTCCAGGCGGGGAAGATATCCAGCCCGCAGGGTCACAGGGGACAAGAGGTAAGTCCAGGCGGGGAAGATATCCAGCCCGCAGGCTCACAGGGAACAAGAGGTAAGTCCAGGCAGGGAAGGGGTTCCAGGCAGCAGAGAGTTCACCCCACATCAGGGAGGGGTGGGGGGTGGCAGCCAGCAAACCTGGAGGATGGGGAAGGAAGGACCAGCTCCGTGTCAGTCATAATCATCATCTTGCCCCTCTGGCAATTCGACAAACACGTCCGGGGCCTCGCCTCGTAGCCCTGGTGTCAGGTACTGAGCCCATTGAGATTGGGGCACATGGTACTGACGGCACGTTTTTTCAAATGACAGTAAGTAGGTGTCAATGTCAATGTCCTTTTCCATCACTGGAAACTTGGCTGCTGGGCCCACGGCTGGAGAGGGGTCCCTGTGCTCTAGGGACCCGGGTTCTGAACTGGTCGCTGATGCTGGAGCCTCGCCATCTCCAGCTCGTGCCAACAATCAGCTTCCCTCTGCGCAGCCTCTCTCTCCACTGCCTGGCGTTCCTCTCTGTCAGCCGCTGCTTGGCATTCCGCAGCTGCTGTTAGCCGCTCTCTCAGCCTGGCGGTCAGGGAGCTGCAAGTAGGCCAGAGGATCCATCTCCATGAGGCGTTCCAGGGCTTCCTGCATCTGAGGAGGGTCTCTGCTGGTTACAGGCACCACGGTGCTGGCGCGCTCAGGCGGTGGGGTGACGATACCATTCGGTGGTCCTCCAGTGTCAGTCTCTGTATGCCCCTCCTGTGAGGTCGTCTCTGAGCCACTGGGATCGGAGGTAGTGGGAACCCCTTCATGGTCAAGTTCCCCCGAGTTCTGATCTGCTCGGCTATCATGCTCCTGTAGGTCCTGAATCAAATCACCACGAGTTTTACGACCGACGTCCAATCCTCGTGAGGCACATTCTGCACTCAAATCACTTTTGCTCATATTCTGCGGCACCAGCCATGACTGCAAGAAAAGATAGAATAGGAAGCAGAGAAAGGGCGGAGCTGTTGCTGTCTCTCTATATATATATATAAAAATATGCACCGCTTGTCTCTAAGGACTGCTTCCACAAAGGTTACAATCCTTCATTGCAGAGCTAAGTCCTACACCGCACTAAAGCAACTATCCCACGTACGCTGCCACCAATCTGTGACGATCCCACGTACGCTGCCACCAATCTGTGACGATCCCACGTATGCTGCCACCAATCTGTGATGATCCCACGTACGCTGCCACCAATCTGTGACGATCCCACGTACGCTGCCACCAATATGTGATGATCCCACGTACGCTGCCACCAATCTGTGATGATCCCACCACGTGATCGCTGCCACCAATCTGTGATGATCCCACGTATGCTGCCACCAATCTGTGATGATCCCACGTACGCTGCCAGCCATATGCTGCCACCAATGCCACCAATCTGTGATGATCCCACGTATGCTGCCACCAATCTGTGATGATCCCACGTATGCTGCCACCAATCTGTGATGATCCCACGTATGCTGCCACCAATCTGTGATGATCCCACATATGCTGCCACCAATCTGTGATGATCCCACGTACGCTGCCAGCCAATATGTGATCATCCCACGTACGCTGCCACCAATCTGTGATGATCCCACGTATGCCCACCAATCTGTGATGATCCCACGCGCTGCCACCAATCTGTGATGATCCCACGTGCGCTGCCACCAATCTGTGATGATCCCACGTACGCTGCCACCAATATGTGATGATCCCACGTACGCTGCCAGCCAATATGTGATGATCCCACGTACGCTGCCACCAATCTGTGATGATCCCACGTACGCTGCCACCAATATGTGATGATCCCACGTACGCTGCCACCAATATGTGATGATCCCACGTACGCTGCCAGCCAATATGTGATGATCCCACGTACGCTGCCAGCCAATATGTGATGATCCCACGTACGCTGCCACCAATATGTGATGATCCCACGTACGCTGCCACCAATATGTGATGATCCCACGTACGCTGCCAGCCAATATGTGACGATCCCACGTACGCTGCCACCAATATGTGATGATCCCATGTATGCTGCCAGCCAATATGTGATGATCCCACGTACGCTGCCACCAATCTGTGATGATCCCATGTACGCTGCCAGCCAATATGTGATGATCCCACGTACGCTGCCACCAATATGTGATGATCCCACGTACGCTGCCAGCCAATATGTGATGATCCCACGTACGCTGCCAGCCAATATGTGATGATCCCACGTACGCTGCCACCAATATGTGATGATCCCACGTACGCTGCCAGCCAATATGTGATCATCCCACGTATATGTGATGACGTCCCAATCGTGACGCTGCCACAGTGATGATCCAATATGTGATGATCCCACGTACGCTGCCAGCCAATATGTGATGATCCCACGTACGCTGCCAGCCAATATGTGATGATCCCACGTACGCTGCCACCAATATGTGATGATCCCACGTACGCTGCCAGCCAATATGTGATGATCCCACGTACGCTGCCAGCCAATATGTGACCCCACGTACGCTGCCACCAATATGTGATGATCCCATGTATGCTGCCAGCCAATATGTGATGATCCCACGTACGCTGCCACCAATCTGTGATGATCCCATCCCATGTACGCGCTGCCAGCCAATATTTCCCATGTACGCTGCCAGCCAATCCCACGTACGCTGCCAGCCAATATGTGATGATCCCACGTACGCTGCCAGCCAATATGTGATGATCCCACGTACGCTGCCAGCCAATATGTGATGATCCCACGTACGCTGCCAGCCAATATGTGATGATCCCATGTACGCTGCCAGCCAATATGTGATGATCCCACGTACCTGCCAGCCAATATGTGATGATCCCACGTACGCTGCCAGCCAATATGTGATAATCCCACGTACGCTGCCAGCCAATATGTGATGATCCCACGTACGCTGCCACCAATATGTGATGATCCCACGTACGCTGCCAGCCAATATGTGATGATCCCACGTACGCTGCCAGCCAATATGTGATAATCCCACGTACGCTGCCAGCCAATATGTGATGATCCCACGTACGCTGCCACCAATATGTGATGATCCCACGTACGCTGCCAGCCAATATGTGATAATCCCACGTACGCTGCCAGCCAATATGTGATGATCCCACGTACGCTGCCAGCCAATATGTGATGATCCCACGTACGCTGCCAGCCAATATGTGATGATCCCACGTACGCTGCCAGCCAATATGTGATGATCCCACGTACGCTGCCAGCCAATATGTGATGATCCCATGTACGCTGCCAGCCAATATGTGTGATGATCCCACGTACGCTGCCAGCCAATATGTGATGATCCCATGTACGCTGCCAGCCAATATGTGATGATCCCACGTACGCTGCCACCAATATGTGATGATCCCATGTACGCTGCCAGCCAATATGTGATAATCCCACGTACGCTGCCAGCCAATATGTGATGATCCCACGTACGCTGCCAGCCAATATGTGATGATCCCACGTACGCTGCCAGCCAATATGTGATGATCGCGGTGTCAGACCCCAGACCTTCTCACCAAACTCATGACCGAAGGACTAGCCAATCTAAAACCGCGATATCACGTGCGTAACAATGCCACACTCAGCTGCACTCTGCACAAAGATTTTCCAGCTCACTGGACCACAATCTGTGTACCTGCAGCCTGAGAGCGATTGTTACTGTCAGGAATCAGGGTATGACCAGAGGTGTGTAGACTGACACAGGGAAACGCAGGGGCAGCAGGCACCGGGCCCCCAGGCGGAGCAGCAGGCACCGGGCCACCAGGCGGAGCGGCAGGCACCGGGCCACCAGGCGGAGCGGCAGGCACCGGGCCACCAGGCAGGGCACCGAGCCCCCAGGCGGAGCGGCAGGCACCGGGCCCCCAGGCAGGGCGGCGGGGCACCGGGCCCCCAGGCGGAGCGGCAGGCACCGGGCCCCCAGGCGGAGCGGCAGGCACCAGGCCCCCAGGCGGAGCGGCAGGCACCGAGTCATCTGGCAAGACCGCGGGCCCCGAGTCATCTGGCAAGACCGCGGGCCCCGAGTCATCTGGCAAGACCGCGGCCCCCGAGTCATCTGGCAAGACCGCGGCCCCCGAGTCATCTGGCAAGACCGCGGGCCCCGAGTCATCTGGCAAGACAGCGGGCCCCGAGTCACCAGGCACGACAGCGAGCTCTGAGTCAACTGGCATGACAGCGGGCTCCGAGTCAACTGGCACGACAGCGGGCACTGGGTCATCAGGCATCGGGTCATCTGGCTCGACAGCGGGCACTGAGTCATCAGGCATCAGGTCATCTGGCTCGGTCATCTGGCTCGGACAGCGGGCAATCGGGTCATCTGGCAGCGGGCAACGGGTCATCAGGCACAACAGCGGGCATCGGATCATCTGGCTCGACAGCAGGCACCGAGTCATCAGGCACAACAGCGGGCATCGGGTCACCAGGCATCAGGTCATCTGGCTCCACAGTGGGCACCGAGTCACCAGGCATGACAGCTGGCTCAGAGTCAACTGGCACGACAGCGGGCACCAGGTTACCAGGCATCGGGTCATCTGGCTCGACAGTGGGCACCAGGTCATCTGGCATCAGTTCATCTGGCAAGACAGCGAGTACCGGGTCATCAGGCATTTGATCGTCTGGCTCGACAGCGGGCATCGGGTCATCAGGCACGACAGCGGGCATCGGGTCACCAGGCATGACAGCGGGCACTGGGTCATCAGGCATTGGATCGTCTGGCTTGACAGCGGGCATCGGGTCACCAGGCATGACAGCGGGCACTGGGTCATCAGGCATTGGATCGTCTGGCTCGACAGCGGGCATTGGGTCACCACATCAGGCATCAGTCATCTGGCTTGACAGCGGGCACCGCGTCATCTGGCAAGGCAGTGGGCACCGAGTCACCAGGCATGACAGTGGGCTCTGAGTCAACTGGCACGACAGCGGGCATCGGGTCACCAGGCACGACAGCGGGCTCTGAGTCAACTGGCAGGATGGTACTGGTTGGAAAGAATTTTCGCTTTTTTCTGTTTTAGTTACTGGAGCACTGTAAGTAAACGCAGGTCTGTAAACGGATGGAGCAGCTGAGGACAGAGAAGAGCTGGAAGATGGAACAGAGGAGGGAGCAGTTGCTACAGAGGACTTCTTTACAGGGTTAAAGAATGGATAGGTTCAGCGAGTGGGAGCAGAGGACTGGTATGTGGTAGTTAGCAGAGTATACTGGGCCGTCACTGGGGGTGCTGTCGGGGATGCAGGAAGAGTGCCTTGAGTGGAGGAATGATGTTGTAAGCTGACTGAGGTTGGGTGCAACAAGTCTGACCATGTCTGCAGTATGGGTTGAACAAAGCTCAGCTTACACAAAGCCTGTCTGACCAATGACTGCACTGCGTTTATACAATCCATAAGCACATGTGATGGACAAGCTGCATAATGCTCATGGAAGCAATCTGGATCCTCCTCCAACAACCATACCAGTGATTCCACTTGATCCACACTAAATGGGGGAAAAAAGTCATCCCTGCTTTCAGGGGTACAGGACCGAGCCAACTCAGCACAAACCTGGATCAATGGCTGCACCTCAGAGAACTCTGTGCCCTGATCTACTAGAAATGAGCGATCCGTATACATTCTAGCAGTTCATCCCGGGGATACTCCTTCAGAGTCTGATAAGCATACTCCCTGTCATCAAACACTAGCAGATATAAATACACAACCTCATCCAGATCCATCCTTCCCAGCAACAAGCCAAGATGGCTTCCCTGTGCAGCCACTTCTGGTCAGGATTGGCCTTGGTGTAATGTCAGGGCTCCGGGTGTGACCAGAGGTGTGTGACTGACGCAGGGAAACGCAGACCTCAGATATAGTATAAACAATATAATTTATTAAGACTAACAATATAAAACGCAGTGCAATACTAAAACATAATACAGTGCAAACAACCCAACCAACCACCCACAGATAACAGTACATACAATGCAAGCGTCGTCAGGCAGGCCGGGTCAGTAGCAAACGGGCAAATGGAGTACCAGGAACAGGTGGAAGAGGTCGGTCGGGGTCACAAGCTGGGTTCAGTAACTCACGGGCAGCGCGGTGCAGAGGGTCAGGCAGAGAATGGTCGGGGTCACAAGCCAGGGATCAAACAGGAGAAGTCAGCAGAGGTCAGGATCAGGCAGGGTCAGCAAGGAATCAAGTCAGACAGGAACAGGAATACAGGATACAAGATACAGGGGCCCATGGAAAAACACACACCAAGGCCCTGACTGTGAGTCTGGCCATTCCTTAAATACAACCCCTGCAATCAGCTTCAGGTGTTTTGGCTGACTGCAGGGGTGACTCTCTGATTGCTGAGAGCACACCGCTGGCCAGCCCTGGTACTGCAGCCCACAAGGCAGGTGAGTCCCACCATTATTGGCAAGTCCATTCCTGACAGTTACTGGGTCAGGATAATTACACAATTAACCCGTCACATGGCACCACCTCCTTTTTGTACAGAGAAAGAGGAAACTGGGCGATATCAGCAATACACTATGATGGTTGAGATAATCGTCTGTATAGCACTCTCACCGCAGGCCGGTTATACAGAGGGTTAAACACACACAGTAGTAGCACTCTTCAGCGGCAGGAATTTGTAATTTTCATTAAAGAGCTTTAGAAACAGTTCAACACTTTCAAAAAGAAATATTGTGTCCATTAGTAAATTCATAGTAAAAAGATATTAGTGAGCGCTACCTTAAAATAAAATGAAAGTATATATATATATACACAACAAATTATGTTAATAAGCTGCTGATACAACAAAAAAAGGCAACCAAGAAAAAACCTCCAGTAGTGCATATATATTCAAGTAAGTTGGTGCAGCGCTCTTTTTGGGTCTCTGGTGTCAGTAGTAATCCACGTTAATATACACAATATCACGCTATTTCACACATATGTGGATACGTGGTATCACCTAAAGGGGATTATTAGTGATATAATTAGTTCAATGTGATTGTGTGGATCATGAAGAGATCACTGTAAAATATCGTATTGTCTCGATATTTTATTAACTTGTATTGATGAGAAATGTTCAGATAGAAAGTCCTTCCACTACTTGCGTAAACTCAAAAAGATGATTTAATTATAACGTTGCATAAAATTAGAAATAAAATATTGGCATACAGAATGTTTAAATAATGTCCAAAAAATATAGTTAAGTTCTTGATAATAACATTGTATATATGTATATGTGTGTGTGTGTGTGTGTGTGTGTGTGTGTGTGTATGTGTCGCATCAAGGCTGCTATAGAGTGAGTGAAACTCAAACCTTTGTTCTACTCTTAAAAGAGCAATCCAGCCCCCAATCTCCTAAAAGTGGGTTGGTATTCTCTTGTAGTCCCACTAAGATAATTGGAAACAGATGTGTATATATAACAAACCTCCAGTCTACTTCTCTCAAAGTCTGAGCGTAACCTAAGAAGGCCTAGACAAAACTTCACTGACATTCCATCAATTAGAATACATTAGATGTATAACACATACACATATATATATATATATATTCTCCTAAAAGTAATCTTACTAAGAGTTATCTCGTATATAAATATCGTAATCAAGAAATATTACAGTATAAACCTTGTAAACCGAACAATTCACTAGTTAGTGAAACATATAATCTCTTACATAGATGGGGGAGGATGGGGGAAGGTATAGCTAATTGCTCTCATATGTGGCTTGAATGTAAAGGAAAAACCCAAGATATATGTTCATATGTATATTCACAGACTATGAAGTCTAATTACTTACTTTTCCCAATCTAGAACAAATATAAATATAATAACTCAATTATTCTATTAAGATCCAACTCATTCATACTTATGTTAGTACTGTTAATAAGAAGATATTAGATATTAGGTTAAGAAAGCTTCTAACAATCACAATTCCAGGTGAGTGGACGTCCTGATCCGGGAGTGACAACTGGTGCAAACCAAACGAATGGATGAAAAACGCACTCACCAGACGTGCGTTTAAAATACGCAATAATTAATCCTGCGTCACCAGGCCATAGAGAGGTCATCAGGTCTCGGGTCAGGTTACCCCACGAATCACCATCCAAGCTCCACAGAAAAGGGTCACCAGGATCCGCTACCAGGTATCACCATCAGGGTCATCTTTTCTCCAGATGGGCACTGTCAGTCCAATCTATGCTGTAGTGCACAGCTACAGGCACTGCTGCTATCCAATACTTCCTGGTGTGTCAGATTAAACGTCCCCTGCTGCACGAGGATGTGTAATCTGACACACCAGGAAGTATTGGATAGCAGCAGTGCCTGTAGCTGTGCACTACAGCATAGATTGGACTCACTGCCTGTTAATAAATCTAAATTATGATTCGGCACTTATATCGATGGCAAGCTTGCAAAATATTTGTTTTTTATGATTAGTCAGAATTAATATTAATATGTGTGAATGGTCTTTTGACAAATGGCAGTATTACAATTCTTCAATCATAGCTGAGACCAAAAGATATACAAGTTAAGCTGAGACAGTAAATAAGGGTAAGTTAGCTGAGACAGTAAATATGGGTAAGTAAGTTAGCTGAGACAGTAAATATGGGTAAGTTAGCTGAGACAGCTAACTAGCTGAAGACTATATTTAGATATAGTTGGTTAAAAGTATCTGTTAGTTATGTCGAAGTTATTAGAAGTGACTTACTATTACATTATGTATTTTAATAGTATCTGTGTGTATTTAGTATACGTTTCTAACATTGATACATTTATAGTTTAGTGATTATACATTGATATATTCTTAAGCTGTATTATTCTTTAAATATATAGCTGAGGGTTACAATATTATGTACATCAGCATACATATGTTCCTGTCCATCAAACATCATATATGTATAGCATGTATAGCATCCCTTCCCTTTTATGAAATGGCTTTGCTAAGCAGTGATAATTTCCATGGAAGGTATTAAGATCACTAACTATGACGTAAATTTGCCTCATAAAAGATCATGAGACAACGGACACGGGGGACACTCTCACACTCACACGCTGTCTTGGAAATTGGCTTTAATGAATTTCTCCTTACCGTGAGTACTCGCAGTTGGATGCGCAGAAATCCCCCATAAAGCTGTGCGAATCTCGCTTACCACGACTGCAGCTAAACTACACGATTCCTGCGCCTCCAACTGGGTTAGCTCTGTTGAAATGTGGGGATGATGGAGCTCCCTATACCTGGAAATGATCACACGACACTCTCAGGTTGCTGTTGGAATTCACATAGAGGAAGTTTTCATTCTCACCCTTTGGTTTTATTACAAACACACACACGCCCCCCCCACATGAATAAGGTCAATCCCCTCCCACCGAACAATGCAATGGGGAGTGCCTATACACAGGATGTACATTCCGATTGGAGCGTAGCCTTTCCTATTATCTATCACTGGTCCACCCCCCCCATGAGCCCTCTGAGGTCAGCAGACTTCCTCCCCTTCCCCCCTGAGCCCTCTATGGAGGGCATATTTCCTGTCCTACTAGCTCCTAGTGATATGTAAATTCCTTGTACAAGCATCCCCTAGAAACACCAGTCTGTACCTGGATGGGCCCGATACGATCTTTATTAAAACACATCCATCCAGATACAGTTCAGGTTGGTAATGGGTTGTAAGATATACATGAGCCTACACACGGAGTTCACACTGCCCGGCGCCTGGCGTTACGAAGTCCATGTGGTACTATGCTGCTGATATGTGG